CGGTGGTCACAGTAAATTTCAACAGGAGCAATATATGCCTTTTGTTTCAGGCCAATTAGCTTTATTTACCAACCAGCTCGGTCTTTAAACCATGATACAGCATTTACAAATTTAGCATAAGGTAAACCTCGAGACAAGAAATTAGCTGGATTCTCCTCACCAGGGAAAATGATTAATGTTACATATGTAAACCCCAAAAAAAATTTTTACTTCCTTGCATTGATTAATTTCGCAACTCTGTTTTTTACGTACACAATTTTTCTGTTTCCCTTACGAATCCATTGTAAAAGGGTACCTCATTTCAGACCAAAAATTTCAGTGTTGTAATATTATTCCTGCCTTTTTCTTATATAATTAGTAATTTTACACCCAAAAAAGGGTGTTATTCCACTGGGCAAGGTTCGTGATTTAATTGGGGAAACCTTGCCTTAGACATAACAAAAAAAAATAACACTTTACATGAAGTAACAACTGCTCCATATGCCATTTGGGGATCACAAAAATTTTTTAATTAACGCTCAGAAATTATTCATTATAGGCAGTTAAAAATTCGGTGTCTTACTAGTTGCGGAGCTGACCCTTTGTCATAAATTTATTATTACAAGGAACCCTACCTACATTAATGGCCTCCTGCAGTCTTTCAAAAGGGTGGACTCACTTTTTTCCTACCTTTACAAAGGAGTCACTCCCATCAAAATATTTATTGGGCCTCAAAATCTCATTTTACACCAGAAGGTGCTAAATTTAATTATGTGAGAGTTTTCTGTAGCTTTATAACCCCTGCTGTAGATTTTTTCTCGGGAAATTTAATTTTCCCAAAATTACTGCATTACACTTTTTTTCCATTCCCCAACCTGCATTTAATAAAAGTGTATAAATTTGAGCTCTTTTATTGAGAGAAAACCAGATAATTTTTAGGTGGGGATCGCCCATTTGTATTTTTCATCCCATCAAGAATTTCGTTTAATGAAAGTACATTGGGACCTTGGTTAATAATGCATTTACATTTTTTTTTATTTATGCCTTTTACATCAATTTTTACTGAAAACACGGAAAAGTCTTCGCAAAACCCCATTTTTAACTTAGCAGCAATTTTTTACATTGTCTGTTGTGTCAGAATTGTCAACATTATCTTTGTTATAATTATCTTAGACCCTTACACATGATTTTGGGTGTTTTCCCTTTTGTGACATTGATAACTTTGTTTAATTTGGCTGAAAAACCTTTACATAGTGTTACCTAAACCCCTTTACTCTGTCAAGTTCCCCCAATCTTTAAACCCTTTTCATTCCATGATTGTAGCATTGAAATTTTAGAAAAATGGTATTGCGAAAAGACAATCTTCTTTTCCTGACTGGTTTCTTTTTAATGGGTACTCTTAGGAGGGTACTTATTTTCTTACCTTTTGGAGAATCTTTATTTCTGATTCTTGCTATTTTATGCACCCATGAACTATTTTTGGAAATGAATTTTATTTTTCCCTTGGGTAATTTTTCCCCTTTTTGAAACTTGACAGATCTTTGGTTTTTTGGTTGACTTTAAAATGAGTTGGTTTGGGTGGTCTGCAACTGAACATTAATTCTTGTAGACCCCAGTCTTATTTCCTTGACCCAAATAACCCTTGTGATACTGTCGAAACCATTCAAGTGTTTTTCTGCTTAATTTTTGTTTTCCCGGCACTCAATAAACCCCAAAAAAAAAAAAAAAAAAAAAAAAAAAAAAAAAAAAAAAAAAAAAAAAAAAAAAAAAAAAAAAAAAAAAAAAAAAAAAAAAAAAAAAAAAAAAAAAAAAAAAAAAAATTTTTTTTTTTTTTTTTTTTTTTTTTTTTTTTTTTTTTTTTTTTTTTTTTTTTTTTTTTTTTTTTTTTTTTTTTTTTTTTTTTTTTTTTTTTTAATTGTTTTTTTTTTGTTTTTTTTTTTTTTTAAAAAATTTTTTTTTTTTTTTTTTTTTTTTTTTTTTTCCCCCTTTTTTTTTTTGGTAAATTTTTTTTTTTTTTTAAAATTTTTTTGGGTTTTTTTTTTTTTTTTTTTTTTTTTTTATTTTTTTTTTTTTTTTTTTTTTTTTTTTTTTTTTTTTTTATTTTTTTTAAAATTTTTTTTTTTTTTATTTTTTTTCTTTTTTTTTTTTTTTTTTTTTTTTTTTTTTTTTTTTTTTTTTTTTGTTTTTGTTTGTTTTTGGGGTTTTTTTTGTTTTTTTTTTTTTTATTTTTTTAAAAAAATTTTGTTTTTTGGGTTTTTTAGTTTTTTGTTAAATTTTTTTTTTGGTTTTGTTTTTTTGTTTTTTTTTTTTTGGGGCCCCCTTTTTTTTTTTTTTTTGTTGGGGTTTTTTTTTTTGTTTTTTGGTTATTTTTTTTTTTTTTTTTTTTGTTTTTTGGTTTTTTTGTTTTTTTTTGGGGTTTTTTTTTTTTTTTTTTGGGTTTTTTTTTTTTTTTGGTTTTTTTTTTTTTTTCTTTTTGTTTTTTTTTTTTTTTTTTTGGTTTTTTTTTTTTTTGGGGAAAAATTTTTTTTTTTTGGGGTATTTTTTTTTTTTTTTTTTTTTTTTTTTTTTTTGGTTTTTTTTTTTTGTTTAAATTTTTTCTTTTTTTTTTTTTTTTAAAAAATTTTTTTTTTTTGTTTTTTGTTTTTTTCGCTTTTTTTTTAAATTTTTTTTTTTTTTTTCTTTTTTTTTTTTGTTTTGTTACACCTTTTTTCTAGCTTGCAGTGATGCTTTTTTTGACTGTTTTCCATAGGTTTGTCTTCAATTAATTTCCCCATTTTCAGCCCTGATGCAATGTATTAAATTCAAATTTTTAATAAAAAGATTACAACTAAAACTATACAACTTACCTTTGAAAAAAATCCTAGCTATTGAGCTTAGCAATTACATTAAGAAATTATATATAAAAATTTAGTACACTTTAGCTTAGCAATTCACTAACTGATATAAATCTTGGCCAAATTGGCTTATCAAAAATTTAAAATTTTTAAAAAATACATTAATATAAATCCTAGCCACTTGAGCTTGCAATTAAGAAAAAAATTGCAAATAAAAATTTTAAATACACTTAATTGTTAGCTACACTTGAGTTTAGTAAAATTTCACATACCTGATAAAATCTGGCCAGAAGTCTTATCAATTAATATTATAAAATTAATATAAATCCTTGCCAGAATTTGCATAGCAAAATTAATATTTCACAATTGTTTTTTACCCCCCTTGGGGTTATTAATAATTTATACAAATTAATATAAACCTTGCCAGAATTTGGGCATAGAAAAATTTAAATTATACACAAATAAAATTTTTAGTCGTACTTGACTTGGCTTACCCAAAATTAATATTGTAATAATTAAATCCACTCCACATTAAGAAAAATTTTGTGAACTTAACACCCACCCCTGTCATTTCACAAAAAATTTATTAAAGTAATTAACTAATTAATAACTTCAAAATTACATCCGGTTTTAAGGACCCAAAGGGCAAATTAAAAATGGAAAAATTTCATTTATCGAATTAACTATTTTGTACTAACAGTAAATGATAACAAAGATAAATTTTATTATCATTTCATAGACAAGTAGAATTTGGGACACCTAGGGGCAAAAAATTCCCCTTCGTACCTACAACTGTCTTATCCCCAAGTTGCTCTAGACTATTTAAATTTCAAATGGAAAAAGTATCACCAGGAATTTTGGAAAAATATAAATTTTTTGGAGTATATTAAAAAAAAAAATGATTAATATTATAATAAAATTTTATATTATATATTATAATATATATATATATATTATTTATTATAACTATACATAACAAAGGGGAATATCTTAAAATCACCCCCAAATTTTACGGAGATCAAAAGGGGTTTAAACTCAGAAAAACTCGTAAACTAAAATTTTTGAAAATACTGGCCAGAAAATAACACGAATCTAGATAGCTTTCGAGGTTCCTGAGCTGTCTTGTCCAGTTGTTGATATCTCAATTTTTGCAGGGAAAGCTACCCCAAAAATTTCGCCCCCTTTTGAGGGGTCAACCCAAAAATTTCCTCTAGAGCACAAATTCTTCAATTTTAACTAACGTCTCTACTCAATTCAAAAAAAAATGGCGAGTTCGTCGTGCAGGCGCGGCTTTTTCCCCTTTTTTAAAAACATAAATTTTATAAAATACAGTTTATGGCCATTTTATTTAATATAATACTGTATTTTTGGAAAATATATACAGTATTTTCCACAATACTTAAATAATCATAACCATGTTTTTTTCTTGGCCATGGTGAGCTTTACTAAACACCCTCAAGGGAGGTTCCTTGATATGGGTAAGGGGCTCTTGATCTAGGGAACTGGATCTTTGCTCAACTTCCCTTCCTTTTCCCACATGCGCTTTAATCCTACGGGTTTTGCGCTCCCCATTTATAATAATAATAATCTGACAGGGTATTTAATAGTAACAATAAACTACGACAGATAAGTCATGCTGGTTATATTAGGTCAAGTTACTTTAATTTTATATATAAAAAACTTTGTACCCTTAAAATTGGCAATTAGTCAAATACAATAAAATTTAGGTGGTTTCCCCTCAAAAGATCTGCAAGTGTCTCATTAACACAGTTATTTTTCTTTGGTCGCTATTTGCAACACTTGAGCCATACTCAATATTACTTTTACACAAGATGGACGTTATAGTCGAAGAGTTTAAAATTTAAACATTTGGGTGGTTCAGAGATGAATAATATTGTTAAAGCCAATAAGGTATTGGGAAAAAAATAAACGTGCTAGATGAAAAGAGTGACGTCACTGTTTTCATGCTAACATCTGTGACCTACCGTTAATAGAGCAGTACCTAGTAGGTACTTATACCTAGTTACTGGGCGGGCAGCACACCTAGTTACTGGAGCAGGAGCAGCAACACCTAGTTACTGGTGCAGCACAGCACTAGGATGGGAGGCCGAGGAGAGTAAGGTTGGCAGGTTATTATGGAGAAGCTGGAAGAAGTTTATTGAGAACAACAACTACCAGAAGGTAATTAGGTTGCTAATAAAAGTAAGTAGTGGTTGATGGTGGTGAGTGGTTGATTGTGGTGGTGTTGATGTGGTGGTGGATGGTAGTTAATGGTGTATGGTGGTGGATGTGGTGGCTGATGGTGGTAGTGTAGGTTGGTTGATGGTAGTAATGGTAGATGGTGGTAGTGTCCGGTGGTGATGGTGGTAGTGTTGATGGTGGTAGTGTGGTTGTTGATGGTAAGTAATGGTGTTATGGTTGATGGTAGTAGTGTGGTGTTGATGGTGGTGTGGTTGATGGTGAGTGTGGTAGTGATGTGTTGGTGGTTGAGGTGGTAGTGTGGTGGTTGTTGGTAGGTAATGGTATGTGGTTGATGGTGGTAGTGGTGGTTGATGGTAGTAATGGTTGGTGGTTGATGGTGGTAGTGATGGTAGTAATGATGGTAGTGGTGGTGGTTGATGGTGGTAGTGGTGGTTGATGGTAGTGTGGTGGTTGGTAGTGGTGGTGGTTGATGGTAGTGTGGTGGTTGATGGTGGTTGGTGGTTGATGGTGGTAGTGGTGGTGGTTGATGTAGTTGATGGTATGTGAGTGGTGGTTGATGGTGGTGGTGGTGTTGATGGTGGTAGTAGTGGTGGTTGATGGTTGGTGGTGGTGATTGATGGTGGTTGATGGTGGTGGTGGTTGGTAGTGGTGGTGGTTGATGGTAGTGGTGGTGGTTGATGGTGGGTGGTTGATGGTAGTGGTGGTTGATGGTGGTAGTTGATTGGTTAGTGGTGGTTGATGGTGGTGGTGGTGGTTGATGGTGGTGTGGTGATTGATGGTTGTGGTGGTTGATGGTGGTAGTGGTGGTGGTTTGGGGGGGATGGTGGTTGATGGTAGGTGGTTGATGGTAGTTGATGGGTAGTGGTGGTTGATGGTGGGTGGTGATTGATGGTGGTTAGAGGTGTGTGGTTGAGTGGTGGTGTGGTGGTGGTGGTGATTGATGGTGGTAGTATGTGGTGGTGGTAGTGGTGGTGTGTTGATGGTAGTGTGGTGGGGATGGTGGTGGTTGATGGTAGTGGTGGTTGATGGTGGTAGTTGATGGTAGTGGTGGTTTGATGGTGGTGGTGGTGGTGGTGGTGGTTGATGGTAGTGTGGTGGTGATTGATGGTGTGTGGTTTGATGGTGGTGTGGTGGTGGTGGATGGTGGTAGTGGTGGTTGGATGGTGGTTTAGTGGTGGTTGATGGTAAGTGGTGGTGTTGTGGAAGGGTGATGGTGGTAATAGTGGTGGTTGATGGTGGTAGTGGTGGTGGTTGATGGTGGTAGTGGTGGTGGTTGATGGTAGTAGTGGTGGTTGATGGTAGTAGTGGTCGTTGATGGTAGTAGTGGTGGTTGATGGTGGTAGTGGTGGTTGATGGTGGTAAGTGGTGGTTGATGGTAATAGTGGTGGTTGATGGTGGTAGTAGTGGTGATTGATGGTGGTGGTGGTTGATGGTGGTAGTTGATGGTAGTTGAGCATCAGTGATCTCAGCCTCCTGAGGAATTGGTTTAGATTGATAGGGGTAAGTTTATTTAGGTACAGGTATACGTAAGTACAATTATCATACATAGTTTAACGTGTGTAAATTACCTGGAATGACCCATATCATCTTCCCATTGTATCTCATTTAGGTCATAATTTATAGGGTCCCAGTTGATGTTCTTGTTGAAATTTAATTTATTGAATTTACCTCTCACGACCGAGTATATTTCTGCCACAGGCCTCTGTGCACACTGGTCTGAACCTCGATAATGTTGTGGTCTGACACTGTAGAATTTGACACCATTATGTCCCAGACCAGATTCCATTGTTAATAAATATGGGGTCTAGGGTGTTTCAAAATATGGCCGTAGCGCTCCAAACCTTGATTTTCTCCATAAGAAAGCATGTAAAAAAACGTAGATCTACGTTTGGAGTGCCACACGAGTGAACGTAGATCTACGTTTGGAGTGCCACACGAGTGAACGTAGATCTACGTTTGGAGTGCACACACGATGTGAACGTAGATCTACGTTTGGAGTGCCAACGTTGACGTAGATCTACGTTTGGAGTGCCAATGGTGAACGTAGATCTACGTTTGGAGTGCCACACGAGTGAACGTAGATCTACGTTTGGAGTGCCACACGAGTGAACGTAGATCTACGTTTGGAGTGCCACACGAGTGAACGTAGATCTACGTTTGGAGTGCCACACGATAGTGAACGTAGATCTACGTTTGGAGTGCCACACGAGTGAACGTAGATCTACGTTTGGAGTGCCACACGAGTGAACGTAGATCTACGTTTGGAGTGCCACACGAGTGAACGTAGATCTACGTTTGGAGTGCCACACGAGTGAACGTAGATCTACGTTTGGAGTGCCACACGAGTGAACGTAGATCTACGTTTGGAGTGCCACACGAGTGAACGTAGATTACGTTTGGAGTGCCACACGAGTGAACGTAGATCTACGTTTTGAGTGCCACAGAGTGAACGTAGATCTACGTTTGGAGTGCCCACGATGTGAACGTAGATCTACGTTTGGAGTTGCCACACGAGTGAACGTAGATCTACGTTTGGAGTGCCACACGAGTGAACATGATTACGTTGGGTGCCACACGGTGAACGTAGATCTACGTTTGGAGTGCCACACGAGTGAACGTAGATCTACGTTTGGAGTGCCACACCGAGTGAACGTAGATCTACGTTTGGGAAGTGCCACACGAGTGAACGTAGATCTACGTTTGGAGTGCCACACGAGTGAACGTAGATCTACGTTTGGTGAGTGCCACACGAGTGAACGTAGATCTACGTTTGGAGTGCCACACGAGTGAACGTAGATCTACGTTTGGAGTGCCACACGAGTGAACGTAGATCTACGTTTGGAGTGCCACACGAGTGAACGTAGATCTACGTTTGGAGTGCCACACGAGTGAACGTAGATCTACGTTTGGAGTGCCACACGAGTGAAGTAGATCTACGTTTGGAGTGCCACACGAGTGAACGTAGATCTACGTTTGGAGTGCCACACGAGTGAACGTAGATCTACGTTTGGTAGTGCCACACGAGTGAACGTAGATTACGTTTGGAGTGCCACACGAGTGAACGTAGATCTACGTTTGGAGTGCCACACGAGTGAACGTAGATCTACGTTTGGGTGCCACACGATGTGAACGTAGATCTACGTTTGGAGTGCCACACGAGTGAACGTAGATCTACGTTTGGAGTGCCACACGAGTGAACGTAGATCTACGTTTGGAGTGCCACACGATAGTGAACGTAGATCTACGTTTGGAGTGCCACACGAGTGAACGTAGATCTACGTTTGGAGTGCCACACGAGTGGAACGTAGATCTACGTTTTGGAGTGCCACACGAGTGAACGTAGATCTACGTTTGGAGTGCCACACGAGTGAACGTAGATCTACGTTTGGAGTGCCACACGAGTGAACGTAGATCTACGTTTGGAGTGCCACACGAGCGAACGTAGATCTACGTTTGGAGTGCCACACGAGCGAACGTAGATCTACGTTTGGAGTGCCACACGAGCGAACGTAGATCTACGTTTGGAGTGCCACACGAGCGAACGTAGATCTACGTTTGGAGTGCCACACGAGCGAACGTAGATCTACGTTTGGAGTGCCACACGAGCGAACGTAGATCTACGTTTGGAGTGCCACACGAGCGAACGTAGATCTACGTTTGGAGTGCCACACGAGCGAACGTAGATCTACGTTTGGAGTGCCACACGAGCGAACGTAGATCTACGTTTGGAGTGCCACACGAGCGAACGTAGATCTACGTTTGGAGTGCCACACAGCGAACGTAGATCTACGTTTGGAGTGCCACACGACAGCGAACGTAGATCTACGTTTGGAGTGCCACACGAGCGAACGTAGATCTACGTTTGGAGTGCCACACGAGCGAACGTAGATCTACGTTTGGACAGTTTATGGGTTAAGGTGAATTTAATGCAGAGGTTTAATACAGTGTAACCTCGGTTGTCAACTGCATTAGTTGTCGAACAAATCGGTTTTCAAACTAGGAATTTGAAAAAAAAAATGACCTGATTTTTGTATGTTTTCTTGGTTGTCAACCGAAAATTTGAACATCTTGGGTCATGTGCTCACTGTCTCGCATGCTGTAAACATCTCTTGACCTTTTCTTGTGCATCGTGTGAATTTTTTTATTTTGAAGTTTTGGTGCAATTTTGTTTTATTGAGATAATCCATCATGGATCCAAAGAATGACCATTTCAATATCCTCACCTGTTTGAGGCTTATAGACAAAGCCTGGGGGAATGTGTCTTCCAGGACCATGCAGTCAGCATGGAAGAAATTGCGGCCTGACTTTGTGGCAGCCAGGGATTTTGAAGGCTTTGAAGATGACCCTGAGCCAGAAGGAGACCTGTGGAGTTGGTGGAGGAGCATAGAACTGGTATGAAGTGAAGGAGGTTTGCTGAAAAATATCCAGACAAAGCAGTGGCCATCCGCCTCTCTAACATGTACAGTGACAGTGTAATGTTACAGTTTAGACAAGTGTTAAAACGGAGCCTTAACCAAACCTCACTGGAAGCAGGAGGTGGAGGAGAGGAGGGGGTATGTTACTGCTTGGAGAGTCACCTTTTGTTACTATGTCAGGCAACTGTGCTTCTGGTGTTGCTTCTCCTTTTTTTCTCTTTTCACCACTAATACCTTATTCTGGCTCACTGAGACAAAGAACCAGTGAGCCAGAATAAGGTATTAGTAGTGAAAAGAGACAAAAAAAGAGAAGCAACACCAGAAGCACAGTTGCCTGACATAGTAACAAAAGGTGACTCTCCGAGCAGTAACATACCCCCTCCTCTCCTCCACCTCCTGCTTCCAGTATGCCATTAGATTTCCTCTGGCAGGTAAGAGGCAGTTAAATTTTCATTTACTGTACAGTATTTCAGTCAAAGTTTCTTTTAGTATTCATTTTTATAGTTTTATGTAGAACAGGTTGGCCATCACTAATCCAGCAATCAGTTATCTGGTTCCATCAGTAATCCGGCACTAATTTCGGCTAGCATAATCTCAAATTTCATCATTATACTAACTCGAAAATTGTGCAGATGGTTGTAAATCCACAGTAGCAAGCCAGTGGAGGAGAAAGCAGTGATGAAAATGAGGAAGATGTAGCAAAGAGAGTCTCTATTGATAGGTTAATTAAGTGTACTCTAACCTAACCACTCTGTAATTCAGCAAACTCGTTAATCTGGCACACTACAGGTCCCAGTGATGCAAGATTAATGATGGCCGACCTGTAGTAAGTACATTTTTAATAAATTATTATATTGTCATTTGGGTTCTGGAATGGATTAATTTTATTTACATTATTCTTAATGGGAAAAATTGCTTTGGTTGTCGTCCATTTTGGTTGTCAAATTGACATCTGGAACGACTTAAGTTCGACAACTTGGAATATACCTGGAGAGGGTTTTGGGGGTCAGCGCCCCCACGGCTCGGTCCGAAACCAGGCAGTGTGGTGGATCAGGGTCTGATCAACCAGGCTGTTAATGCTGGACTCTCGCAAACTGACATACGAACCACAGCCTGGCTGGTCAGGTACTGACTTAGGTACCTGTCCAGTGCCTTCTTGAAGACAGCCAGGGGTCTGTTGGTAAGCCCCCTTATGTATGCTGGGAGGCAGTTGAACAGTCTTGGGCCCCTGACACTTATTGTGTTGTCTCTCAGTGTACTCGTGGCACCCCAGCTTTTCATTGGGGAATATTGCATCTCCTGCAGAATCTTTTGCTTTCATTGGGAGTGATTTTCATGTGCAAGCTTGGTATTAATCCCTCTAGGATTTTCCAAGTGTGTATTATCATGTATCTCTCTTGCCTGCATTATAGGAATACAAATCAAGGGACTTCAACCGTTTCTAGTAATTTAGGTGTCTTATTGTACAGTGGACCCCCAAATTTCGTGATTAATCCGTTCCAGAGAGTCTGCCGAAAGTCGAAACTCACGAATTTTGAAACCATTTCCCCCATACGAAGTAATGTAAATCCAATTAATCCATTCCAGACACACAACAGTATTAACAAAAATTATTTTTTTTATAGATTAAATATAGATTTAAATACAGAAAAGAACGATAAATCGAGTATAAAACAATAACATCACACTTATCTTTATTGAAGACTCTTGTTGGTGTATGGATGATGGGAGGAGGGGAGAGGATGGAGAGGTTACACTATTGTTTGGAAGGGAAATCCCCTTCCATAAAGACTTTAGGTACCAAGTCCTTATCCTGGGTTACTTGCCTTCTTTGTTTTTTAATGGCACTGTGACCAGCTTGAGTCACTGGACCCGTGTCACACACAAAAAAAAAAAACGTCCAGAGAGCTCTTGCAGCTCTTCCCTCTACCATAATCACTACCACCATCACAACCACTACCACTCTCTACCACCATCACTACCACCATCACAACCACTACCACCCTCTACCAACATCACTATCACCCTCTACCACCATCACAAGCACTACCACCCTCTACCACCATCACAAGCACTACCACCCTCTACCACCACCATTTCGTATTTTTCTACAAACTTTTTCTTTAATTCTATCACGTTTCTCACCTTCTTTACCAAAGGGCTGGCACTAGAAGCTTTCTTAGGGCCCATGGTGGCTTATTTAGCAGTTGCAAGCACAAAAAAGAATGGATTATTTTGAAATGTATCGTACGAGTGCTGAGTGGACTAATAGACAGACAGGTTGTATTAGATTTATCAGTCATTTATATTTCACTTTCTGGGGGTGTTTTTTTAACACTATTTTTGAATCACTTGTAATATAAGAAACATTTAGAATCATCTAGTACATATAAAGCTGCATATTTTGGGCCATTTGTATATAAAGGTTTTGCTCAGGTTGAGTCATGCACTTGCAGTATCAGGGGTGTGTGCTTTTTGTATTGTTCCTATTGATGCAGCTCTTCAAGAAGCTTTAGGGCAGGATTTATTTATATTAGGTATCATATAAACCCTGTCATTAACTCAGGCCATATAAACTGTTCCACCACCAAGGTAGAGGCAACATGAAGACAATTGATAATGTTCTGTTCAGTTTTAGCTGATGACCCCAAGGAGGTGAAGGCTTGGCAGTGCAAGATTGTGGCTCTCATCCACCTCGACCAATTCTCTGATGCTCTCAACATCGCTAACAAGTCAAAGTTGACAGAGTGAGTCCTTGCACCATTGATACCTTCTATTTAATGTATAGCCATGATACTAATTGTCAAGTCTTAATTATGTACAACTGCCATTAATTGGTTAGGCTTAATTATATACAAATAATATACGTACTAATTTTTTACAACACTGGCTATCTTCCACACAGGCAAGGCGATTCAGAAAAGTAGGAAATATATTCACCTTTATTCATTCAATCACTGTGTTGCCAAAAGTGTGCTAACATTGCATTTCAGTTGATCCTCTGAACTGTAACGTCCTCACCCCTCTCCTACGGAGTGCAGTCACTGTACTTCCCACCTCCAGGACTGTAACATCCCCACCCATTGTTCATAGTACAGGCACTATACTTCCTGCCTTCAGGACTGTAATGTCCCCACCCTTTATAGTGCAAGCACTCTGAAGACTTTCTTTCAGATATATTTTACAAAGACTGTAGCTTTTAGTCACTCCTGCATGACTGCTGCACCCACCTGTCACTCCTGCATGACTGCTGCACCCACCTGTCACTCCTGCATGACTGCTGCACCCACCTGTCACTCATTCATGACTGCTGCACCCACCTGTCACTCCTTCGTGACTGCTGCTCCCAACATAATCAACTATGTGTTTCACATTGTCTTCCTCACAGACAGCTGGCGTTTGAGAAGGCATATTGTCAGTACCGGCTGAACCAAGTGTCAGAGGCCTATGACACCATCTGCAAGGCTGCTGATGTGACACCTCGCGTCCAGGAGCTCCAGGCACAGATCCTTTATCGTCTGGAGAGGTTAGTCACCAAGTTATCACCTGGAGAGGTTAATCACCAAGTTATCTCCTGGAGAGGTTAGTCGCCAAGTTATCACCAGGAGAGGTTAGCTGCCAAAACACAGATAACCCGCACTTAGTAGACTGAAACTTACGACAAAGTTTTGGTCCAACTTGGACCGTTAAAAAAAAACGTACCATGGGCTGGGATGGAATCCGTGATCAGAGAGTCTCAAAACTCCAGACCGTCGTGTTAGCCACTGGGCCAGCTAGCCGTTAACCTGAGTGACTGGTTAATGGTTCAAGTCAGACCAGAAAGTTGTTAAAAGTTTGTCTTCTAAGTGTGAGTTACTTGTGTAATGTTCCAACCACAGTATTATGACTATTTTTCTGAGGTTAGCCACCAAGTTATCATTTTCCGAGGTTAGCCACCAAGTTATCTTTTCCGAGGTTAGCCCCAAGTTATCATTTTCCGAGGTTAGCCCCAAGTTATCATTTTCCGAGGTTAGCCCCAAGTTATCATTTTCCGAGGTTAGCCCCAAGTTATCATTTTCCGAGGTTAGCCCCAAGTTATCATTTTCCGAGGTTAGCCCCAAGTTATCATTTTCCGAGGTTAGCCCCAAGTTATCCTCCGAGGTTAGCCACCAAGTTATCATCTCGCTGGCCAGCAAGACACTATATAACACAAGTTGTTGTGGCCTTATAAACCCAACTAGCTAAAAGCTTTTTTTTTTTTTTTTTTTTCTTCAACAAGTCAGCCGTCTCCCACCGAGGCAGGGTGACCCAAAAAAGAAAGAAAATCCCCAAAAAGAAAATACTTTCATCATCATTCAACACTTTCACCACACTCACACATTATCACTGTTTTTGCAGAGGTGCTCAGAATACAACAGTTTAGAAGCATATACATATAAAGATACACAACATATCCCTCCAAACTGCCAATATCCCAAACCCCTCCTTTAAAGTGCAGGCATTGTACTTCCCATTTCCAGGACTCGAGTCCGACTATATGAAAATAACCGGTTTCCCTTAATCCCTTTAAATATTACCCTGCTCACACTCCAACAGATCGTTATGTCCCAAGTACCATTCGTCTCCATTCACTCCTATCTAACACGCTCGCGCACGCTTGCTGGAAGTCCAAGCCCCTCGCCCACAAAACCTCCTTTACCCCCTCTCTCCAACCCTTTCGAGGATGACCCCTACCCCACCTTCCTCCACATATTTTAAGTGTAATAGTAGTTTTTCTTTGGTTTGGCTTTATAAAATGCATTTGTTTGTTACAAGTCTGGAGAGCTCCTATAAGTTTGTTTGGTACAGGTCTGGAGAGTTCCTATATGTTTGTTACAAATGTGGAGTTCCTGTAAGTTTGTTTTGTATAAGTGTGGAGAGTTCCTATATGTTTGGTGCAATTTGGCAAGAAATTTGGCTCTTATTTTGACAGTAGTTTACACATAGTATGTGTTCGGTTGACAAATCTTCCTACATCCAAAGTAACCCAGCAGACCCACTAACAGTATGTAAGGCAAGATACAGTATTAATTTTACTAGAATTTAAAAATGTTTCACAAATTTGGAGGTGTCCAGATTGTATTCCTATATTTTCCACGAGTTTTTCACACGAGTTATTGCTGTTTTAGATTTGACACCTCTTTTTCAGGGTTGTAGCCTTAGCACTGATAAAGAATCTACTGCATGTTAGTTAGATTTGGATAAGAGATAAGCTTAAAATAATAACATTGTCTATTGTATAATTGGAACTTGTATCCTTTAGTTTTGCTGTATCTTCAACTCTGTGTCTACCGACAGGTACAGCGAGTGTTTTATGATGTGTACCGTGAAATTATTCGCACTACTAGTGATGACTATGATGTGGAGCGTGAGACCAACCTGACAGCCGTAGCTGTCAATTGTGCATTAGATGGAACCGTGAGTCTTTCTCTTGCTATTTTGATCTTCATAATGTTAGGTGTTTCAGAAATGAAATAAGGCTATACAGTGGTACCTTGACTTACGAGTGCCCCAACTTATGAGTTTTCCGAGTTACGAGCTGTTGCTTGGTTGAATTTTTGCTTTGAGTTGTGAGCCAAAATCTGAGTATATATCATGTTTCTATGTTATTTATATTGTTTGTTATGTCATACTAGATCATTTTGTTTTTTTTCTCTCGACAAACCCGCCGTATCCCACTAAGGCAGGGTGGCCAAAAAAGAAAAACGAAAGTTTCTCTTTTTAAATTTAGTAATTTATATGGGAAAAGGGGGTTACTAGCCTCTTGCTCCCGGCATTTTAGTCGCCTCTTACAACACGCATGGCTTACGGAGGAAGAATTCTGTTCCACTTCCCCATGGAAATAAGAGGAAATAAACAAGAACTAGAAAGAAAATAGAAGAAAACCCAGAGGGATGTGTGTGTATATATATATATGCTTGTACATGTATGTGTAGTGTGACCTAAGTGTAAGTAGAAGTAGCAAGAGTACGTGAAATCTTGCATGTTTATGAGACAGAAAAAAGGACACCAGCAATCCTACCATCATGTAAAACAATTAGATCATTTGTGATAGATAAATAAGCCGTAGAGTTGACATTAGTGTTATATTGAAGTATTTTTCTCCTGCCTCCCGAGAGCCAGGAATTCCGCTAGAACGGATTAATGGCATTTCAATTAATTTCAATGAGGAAAATTGATTTGATATACGAGCAAATTGAGTTACGAGCTCAGTCATGGAATGAATTAAACTTGTAAGTAAGGTACCACTGTATTAATAAGTAAAGAATGAAGTATTAATATAATTTTTTTTTTTTTTCAACAAGTCGGCCGTCTCCCACCGAGGCAGGGTGACCCAAAAAAGAAAGAAAATCCCCAAAAAGAAAATACTTTCATCATCATTCAACATTTTCACCACACTCACACATCATCACTGCTTTTGTAGAGGTGCTCAGAATACAACAGTTTAGAAGCATATACGTATAAAGATACACAACATACCCCTCCAAACTGCCAATATCCCAAACCCCTCCTTTAAAGTGCAGGCATTGTACTTCCCATTTCCAGGACTCAAGTCCAACTATATGAAAATAGCCGGTTTCCCTGAATCCCTTCACTAAATATTACCCTGCTCACACTCCAACAGATCGTCAGGTCCCAAGTATCATTTGTCTCCATTCACTCCTATCTAACACGCTCATGCACGCTTGCTGGAAGTCCAAGCCCCTCGCCCACAAAACCTCCTTTACCCCTCTTTCCAACCCTTTCGAGGACGACCCCTACCCCTCCTTCCTTCCTCTATAGATTTATATGCTTTCCATGTCATTCTACTTTGATCCATTCTCTCTAAATGACCAAACCACCTCAACAACCCCTCTTCTGCCTTCTGACTAATGCTTTTATTAACTCCACACCTTCTCCTAATTTCCACACTCCGAATTTTCTGCATAATATTTACACCACACATTGCCCTTAGACAGGACATCTCCACTGCCTCCAACCGTCTCCTCGCTGCTGCATTTACCACCCAAGCTTCACATCCATATAAGAGTGTTGGTACTACTATACCTTCATACATTCCCTTCTTTGCCTCCATAGATAACGTTTTTTGACTCCACATATATCTCAACGCACCACTCACCTTTTTTTCCCTCATCAATTCTGTGATTAACCTCATCCTATAAATCCATCCGCTGACACGTCAACTCCCAAGTATCCGAAAACATTCACTTCTTCCATACTCCTCCTCCCCAATTTGATATCCAATTTTTCTTTATCTAAATCATTTGATACCCTCATCACCTTACTCTTTTCTATGTTCACTTTCAACTTTCTACCTTTACACACATTCTCAAACTCATCTACTAACCTTTGCAATTTTTCTTTAGAATCTCCCATAAGCACAGTATCATCAGCAAAAAGTAACTGTATCAATTCCCATTTTGAATTTGATTCCCCATAATTTAATCCCACCCCTCTCCCGAACACCCTAGCATTTACTTCTTTTACAACCCCATCTATAAATATATTAAACAACCATGGTGACATTACACATCCCTGTCTAAGACCTACTTTTACCGGGAAGTATTCTCCCTCTCTTCAACACACCCTAACCTGAGCCTCACTATCCTCATAAAAGCTCTTTACAGCATTTAGTAACTTACCACCTATTCCATATACTTGCAACATCTGCCACATTGCTCCTCTATCCACTCTATCATATGCCTTTTCTAAATCCATAAATGCAATAAAAACTTCCCTACCTTTATCTAAATACTGTTCACATATATGCTTCAATGTAAACACTTGATCTACACATCCCCTACCCACTCTGAAGCCTCCCTGCTCATCTGCAATCCTACATTCTGTCTTACCTCTAATTCTTTCAATTATAACCCTACCGTATACTTTTCCTGGTATACTCAGTACACTTATTCCTCTATAATTTTTACAATCTCTTTTGTCCCCTTTCCTTTTATATAAAGGGACTATACATGCTCTCCGCCAATCCCTAGGTACCTTCCCCTCTTTCATACATTTATTAAACAAAAGTACCAACCACTCCAACACTATATCCCCCCCTGCTTTTAACATTTCTGTCATGATCCCATCAGTTCCAGCTGCTTTACCCCCTTTTGTTCTACGTAATGCCTCACGTACCTCCACCACACTTACATTCTGCTCTTCTTCACTCCTAGAAGATGGTATACCTCCCTGGCCAGTGCATGAATATAATATACGTATATAATATTTTATATATAATAATCCTTTATTTGGGTAGATTTCCTGTGAACAAATATGCTTTTATGTGATGATTTTGTTGACTCGTGAAATCATAATGACATGATTGCAAGCAAACCATGGTATGGGTGGGGATTGAGCATGTGGCAAGTGAGTCATAAAACTTCAGTGGCTTAGGTGCTGGCCTGGAATTTTATGACTTACTTGCCACGAGTTCATTCCCCACCAGTACTGTGGGATGATTCCATTTTTACCATTCATTCCATGTGCGCTGCATAAATGTGCTTATGTGTAGTCAGTGGCATTCACAAAATATACTTTAGGAAGGCTTACAATGTTGGGAGTGCCATGGACAACATTAAGGCTTCATGGGATGTAGTGAAGTCTTCAACCTTGAATGATGCTTACAAGCTCCTTGGGAAGACGCATTTTGAACTTCAAGAGCTTCTCCAAATTGTTCACAACTGTGTGAGAAGTCAAGCTGGGACAGAAGGTGGGACGAGAAAGTTGCTCACACCTTGAGGTGGGTCAAGAAGGTTGCTCACACCTTGAGGTGGGTCAAGAAGGTTGCCCACACCTTGAGGTGGTTCAAGAAGGTTGCTCACACCTTGAGGTGGGTCAAGAAGGTTACATCTTGTGGAGGAGGACATTTTGGAACTTTTTACTCCCACGGCTAGTCTGGGACTGGCTATGGGAGCAGTGACCCTTAGATTTGTCTACAGGTACAGGTCTAGAGGCTTTTTGATTTTCATTTGAGAGCCTGAATACAGTTATTAACATTCCTTCATTACAGAACTGCCATAATCTCCATTATTTCCTGTATATTGATTACTTTGGGAGCAAGGGGCTAGTAACCCCCCTTCTATATACATTACTAAAGTTAAAAAGAGAAACTTTCGTTTTACTTTTTGGGCCACCCTGCCTTGGTGGAATATGACCAGTTTGTTGAAAGAAAAAGAAGATTGATTGCTTTATCACCTGTCCAGCCTTTTACATGCACCACAATTACAGATACAAAGTACAGTGGAACCTCAAAAATCGAACGTATCACATATCGAACGTTTCGAAAATAGGACCATTTTTTCGGGACAAACTGTGTCCTCATTATCGAACGCGCCCCTATTTTCGGACCGCCGGGTACGGGACCTGTCTGCCGCCCGCTCTGTCCGCGTCCCCGCGCAGGCGCCGTGAGCAGTCTAGCTTTGTTTATGCTTGAGTGAACACTAACCTGCGCTCTCATTCACGCATTTTACGATTATTTCGTTGTGTTTAGTGTTTGTGGGACTGTGAAATAAGCTGCCATGGGCCCAAAGAAACTTGCTAGTTGTACCCCTGTGGTAAAGAAAGTGAGAAACACCATAGATGTGAAGAAGGAAATTAATACAGAAGTATGAGAGTGGTGCGAGACTTGTTGTGTTTACCAGGATGTATGGGAAAAACAAGTCGACCATCGGTTCTATCCTGTCAAAGAAAGAACAAATCAAGGAAGCTGATGTTGCGAAAGGTGTTAATATAGGGAGTGGATGAGGTGCCTTCTTCAAAGATTAAGGAGATTTGTGCCAAGTGGAATGATGTCCAAATGTTTGTGCAGAAGTACCACCCGGAGCAAGCTGAAACAAGCCATCTTTGCAACAAGTTCAGTGACAGGATCATGTCCCATTTTAGGGAAATGTTAAAGAGGTGCCAGAAACAGAGGACTGTATACAGTTATTTTGTGAGACAGGGGTCCAGTGACTCTCAAGCTGGTCCTAGTGGCATTAAAAGACAGAGAAGGGAAGTAATCCCAGAGAGGGCTTTACCTGAAGTCCTCATGGAGGGGGATTCTCCTACCAAACACTAACTACAACTCCCTCTCTCCTCCTCCCTATCTTCCAGATGCCATCACCAATCTTCAATAAAGGTAAGTAAAAATGTTATTTTATATGTATTACTTTACATAATTAAAAACTATAGTATTTGTTGTATGTAAAACTGTAATTAATCTCTATAAAATGTATTTTTTGTGTGAATATTTTTGGGTTTCTGGAACGGATTAATTGTATTTCCATTATTTCTTATGGGAAATATTGCTTCGAATTTCAGACTTTTCAAATTTAGAACTAGCTCCTGGAATGGATTAAGTTCGATTTTTGAGGTTCCACTGTATTAGTAAAGCTAATATCTGTAATTGTTGCTTCCATGTTTTTTTTTTTTTTTTT